TTTTTTAAGATCTCCATTGTCTTCATTAGTATTCCTTTAGATTGCTAGTGCTGCAGTGTAGTGTTTAAAAGTATTGATTTCTCTGAAAAGCTGAGATAAATTACCCTACAAAGCAGCAAGGAAATTTTCTCCTGTCAAGTCTTGCTAAAGCTTGATAGAGCTTGAATCAGGATGATGAAAACCAGATGCATTCACATTTAATAAAGCAAGAATGTTGTGAAGGCAATTCACTCAGGAGCACCTCATGTAATGTGTTATGACAAGCTCAGATCAGGTCAGTCACCATACGTCTTGCGTAAAACTCATTATTGTGCCGATCACAAGCTTGATTATTTTTCAGCTAGGAAATCATGTATGACCACCGGCAGTCACACATTCTCTTGTGTTGTCAGTGTGCTGTACTTCATGATAGAGCATTTATTTCCATGAATGTGGCTTATGAAATTGCCGTTTTATGTAAACACCTGCCATCCCTTTCACATCATTCATTGTTCTCCAATGCATTGAACCTCAGCTACATCAGCTACAGTCAAGTCAAGTCACCTTTATTTGTATAGCGCTTTATACAATGCTGGTTGTGTTAAAGCAACTTTACAGTGTCAAGTAATGCAGCATTTAACAGCATTCAAGTAATGCAGTGCTCAAAGTTCTGATTAAATCTGATAATAATCAGCTTTTTTGAATGTCTTTTTGTGTCAACTTTATAAAGAACCTCTAAATTCTTTATTTCTGGTGCCCTCTCTCAGGTAAGGTGGTGTTGGCCTCTTCAAAAGCGGTGTATATACTGGTTCCTCTCCCTCTGGAGCGTCAGATCCAAGACCTGTTGGCAAGCCATCGAGTTGAAGAGGCCCTGACCCTCACCGAGGCAGCACAGAGAAACATTCCCAAAGAAAAATATCAGGTACACCAAACTGTTCTGACATTGGTGGAGATACAAGGGTGCTTCTCTCAATTTGACAAAGGGTTTTAATTGATGATTTTCTCTTTTTATGTTGTAGATATTGCACAAAAGAATTCTCCAACAAGCAGGATTCATCCAATTTGGCCAGCTTCAGTTTTTAGAAGCAAAAGAACATTTTAGGTGAAGTGCATCATTTTGTCATGTAATTAATACTGTTAATTGCTGCTCAGACCCAGATGTTTCAGAGGATGACTGAATGGAGTTAATTAACTTCTTTGCTAATTGCTTCTTATCCCTCTGCGCACCTGACCCTAATCGCCGTATGCTAATGGATGGAGAACAGCAACTTGTCTAACAGCTGAATAAATGGCCAACATAAATATCAGTAGATGTACCATGTTGAATTTTGCATGTATTTTAAGCTTCAACATCTATCATACAGCAAGAACTAGTAATCTATTTAAATCACTGATTGTTAGTACTACCGTAATATTCCACTTAGTATAGAGATGGCATGGAGAAGGTGCATCTGGAATGATTTACTATGTACAGGCATGGCCTTCTGTCATTAAAACCTGGAATAGAATTTGACCGGTCACTTTCCACCTGTGGTATGAATATAGATTTATGGTATTTATTAATATTTTCAGATTTCATTTTGTGCATTTGTCAGCTGTATACATTTTTCTTTTTCAATATTTCTATTTTGCTTTTATTCGTTTCATTGGCCATTATTTATTTATTTATTTATTTGCTTGCCATAATCAATTTTTTTAATAGTATTTCAAGTACTTCTGTTAAAGTATTTCAGTTAATATTTGTATTTTAGTTTAGTTTAATTTCAATTAACACATTTTTTTTTAGCAGTTTTAGGTTTAATTAACAATAACACAGGTTTCGTTTAATTATATATATATACATATATAGCAAAATAAATATAAAATAATAACCTTGTAATAATAATAATACACTGATTCATATCAGACCCTCTAAAAATGTCAGTTTTTAAAGTTTTTTTTTTTTATGATGACATTTTTTTTTTTATAAATTTAGCTTTTTCCAATACCCATTTTAGGAAAGGACAGCTGGATGTACGGGAGCTGATCTCTCTTTATCCTCTGCTCCTTCCTGCCTCTTCCTCGTTCACACGTTGCCATCCACCACTTCATGAATTTGCTGACTTGAACCACCTGACACAAGGGGACCAGGAGAAGGTACAGCACTTCAAACGTTTCCTCATTAGCTACCTGCACGAGGTGCGCAGCAGCGACAGTGCTAATGGTTTCCGTGAAGACGTAGATACGGCATTGCTGAAGCTCTACGCAGAGACCGGCCATGAGAGTCTTCTGGACTTGCTAGCCTCCGATAACGCCTGTCTCCTGGCAGACAGCGCCCCCTGGCTGGAGAAGCATCACAAGTGGGTACTCACTTTTATTTTTCCTTTGAGTAGCTATTGAATAGAAGAGTCCGTCCACTTTTGACAGTTTATTTTTGCAAGAAAAATAAAGATGATATTCACATTTTGTATTTTTTTTTAAACCATCATGATACATTAATCATCCATGCCCTCTATCGTTTTATTCACTGCAGTTGCCATGGCAGCACATGGCTTTAATAAATGTCAGTGTTTGACAGTGCTTAACTTTTAGCTGCATTTCTTAATGTGTGGGATTTCACTGTTAATGATTGTTGTCTCTATTCAGGTATTTTGCTCTTGGGCTTCTATATCACTATAATGGTCAAGATTCTGCTGCTTTACAGGTGGGATCTGATTGCTGATGTGCTGTTTGAACATTTTGATTATGGTGACATGAAACCAATGTTAAAATAATATTCCGGGTTAAAGTTTAAGACATCATGTGTGGCATGCTGTTGACTACCACAGAAAAATGATCTAGCATACTAATATGCTGATTTGGTGCTCAAGAAACAATTTATTATTATTATTATTTATTTATTTATTTTTATCATCAGTGTTGAAAACATTTGTGCTGCTTATTTATATTTTGTGGAAACCATGATGCAATTCATCAAATAATTCTGAAATAAAAGTAAGTTCTAAAGAACAGCATTTATTTGAAATCTTTTGTAACAAATGCTTTTACTGTCAATTTTGGTAAATTGAATGCATTTTCACTTAATAAAACTGCATTTTCACTTTGTTTTACTTTTGAATCACTTTTTTTTTTTTTTTTGCTTTTTGCCTCTGATTTTTAGAAAAATGCAGTTTTATTTGAATAACTTCACAACTGGATACACTCTCATGTAATGGATGACTAAGAGCATTTTTTGGTCCTGTCCTGTTGTAGATGTGGGTGAAGATCGTCAGCGGAGATCTCCAGGACTCAACACGACCAGATCTGTTTGAATATGTTGTAGATTTTCTTAGTTTTTGCTCCAACCTTGATCTTGTGTGGCGGCATGCAGCCTGGGCACTACAGAAGGATCAGAAGGTTTGTACTTCATATTAACATTTAATGTTGTTGAATAGGATGTTGAATAGCTGTCTTTATCTTTAAAGGGGTCATATGATGCGATTTCAAGTTTTCCTTTCTCTTTGGAGTGTTACAAGCTGATTGTGCATAGAT